ATATTCATAGACTAAGACAATATTTCTAGATTTAAATGGTAGATCCTAATAATAACCACAAATAACGACAAAATAATATGTAATAAATATACTTAAACAGTTACTACACAATTGATTTAGATCATATTTCATACTATATTCAACAAAAAAGTTCAGATGCATCAAAGAGTTAAAAATAAAAAATAAGCCGGGTGCGGTGACTCACGCCTGTAATCCCAGCACTTTGGGAGGCCGAGGCGGGTGGATCATGAGGTCAAGAGATCAAGACCATCCTGATCAACATGGTGAAACCCCGTCTCTACTAAAACTACAAAAAAAAAAATTAGCTGGGCATGGTGGCGCGTGCCTGTAGTCCCAGCTACTCAGGAGGCTGAGGCAGGAGAATTGTCTGAACCCAGGAAGCGGAGGTTGCGATGAGCCAAGATCGCGCCATTGCACTCCAGCCTGGGTAACAAGAGCGAAACTCCGTCTCAGAAAAAAAATAATAAAATAAATAATAAATAAAATAAAAAATAACCCATAATAGAAACTATTGATCCTAAAAGCATAAACTGGCTTTGGGGGAGAGAAGGAGAAAAAATCATTTCTGAGTAAAGAGACGAGAGATGAATAATAAAGTTAAATGAGTTCTGACATATAAAAACTTAAACCTTTGCAAACTTCGCTCCTTCAGTAAATACTTTTTAAATGCATACACAACATTTCACAAACTGTGCTAGGCCCTGATTTTTCAGAGTTTGAATAACGCACACGAGCCCTCATCTGCTAGAATTGAAGCCTAGCAGAAAACCCAGTAAATAGCTCAAAAAGCATACGGAAAGTTGCAGTAAATAAGTGCTACAGGAAAAGACAGATATCTCCAAGGTAATACGAACTTAGGAGAAACAGCAGCTGGAATGGCCATGAAAGTCTCCAAAGCATGACATCAAAGCTGATGACCAAAGGAGGAACACATACCTTGGCCAGGCGGCTCACACCTGTAATCCCAGCACTTTGGGAGGCCGAGGCAGGCCAATCAATGAGGCCAGAAGTCTCAGCCTGGCCAACAGGGTGAATCCCCTTCTCTAAAAGAAAATAGAAAAGAAAAAGAAAAAAAAGGAAAAACACACGCCAACCAGATGAAGCGTGGGGAAGGCCAGCAGCACAAAGGCCCAAGGCAGGCAAAAGAGGATCAACCTTAGTGACACCAACAAAATAAGAGCAACTGATAAAAGGCGATATTCTAAAGCACCAAGAAAAACACAGCTTCCCATATAACATATCATCAACAAAAGGAAATGTATGTTCCTCACCGCCATCTGCATATGTCCACCCAAAAAGACTAAACAAAATGTGAAGCCAAAAGTTAATGAGGATGAAGCAAAACAAGTACATATACAAAATCAACAGAACTGTAAACTTGGTTGCTCTTTTTAAAAGACAATCTGAAAATAATGATAGAAGCTAGCATTGTTCATAATTTACTCTTCCTAACCTAAAAACTAACTGCACAAAAGATATCTATAGAGGGGAGAAAAGATATCCACAGAGTGGCATTTAAAAAACTAAGTGCTCACTTCATAGGCCCGGCCTAGAGTCCCATGCCTATAATCCCCACACTTTGGGAGGCCAAGGTGGGTAGGCGACCTGAGGTCAGGAGTTCAAGACCAGACTGGCCAACACGGTGAAACCTCATCTCTACTAAAAATAGCCAGACGTGGTGGCAGGCACCTGTAATCCCAGCTACTAGAGACACTCAGGCAGGAGAATGGCTTGACTGTGGGAGATAAAGCCTGCAGTGAGCAGAGATTGTGCCAACACACTCCAGACTGGGCAACAGAGTAAGACTCCATCTCGAAAAAGAAAAAACAAATTAAAAAAGTGCTTTCTTCGGCAGCACATTTACTAAAATTGGAACGATACAAAAAAGATTAGCATGGCCCCTGTCCAAAGATGACTGACAAATTCATGAAGTCTTGGAGTAATACACACACACACACACACACACATACACACACACACCCAAAAAGCCTAAAACTATGAAACTATCTAAATTGTATGAAATTTTCATCAGAAATTGTAAGAATATGGATTGGAAAATACCCAGAAATGTTTAGTATTAACAAACACTAATAACATTTAGCAGTTTGTATATACAGATAATATATAAAACAAAGACCTTCAAAATTTATAATCTGAGTGACAAATAATGTTTAGTAATCACCAGCTGCTCTGCTCAGAATTATGTTCAATGGCATACAGTATTTTCAATTCAAACAATACATTAGAGAACAAAGAATATTTTAACATTTATTACCATCCCTCAGGAATGAAAACTGCTATTACAAAAAACAGCTACATTCTTTCCTGAAAAATACATCCTGAGAACCAATCTCTCTCCTACCTTCTAGCAGTAGTTACTTTCTGCCCCCTGCTAGTCCATTTTGTACAGTTTTATGAGGGAGGAAGACAGAGAGAGAAGAGAATACACATATACGTTTATTAACAATTTTTGGTAATGAGCTGTTTAAAAATGTTTACAAACAGTATTTCATGCTTTATGTACCATTTACCAAACATTCTAGCCTAAAGATACATAACTGATAAAAATACTAACTAATCAGCCGGGCGCGGTGGCTCACGCCTGTAATCCCAGCACTTTGGGAGGCCGAGGCGGATGGATCAAGAGGTCAAGAGATCAAGACCATCCTGGTCAACATGGTGAAACCCTGTCTCTACTAAAACTACAAAAAAAAAAATTAGCTGGGCATGGTGGCACATGCCTTTAATCCCAGCTACTCAGGAGGCTGAGGCAGGAGAATTGCCTGAACCCAGAAGGCGGAGGTGGCGGTGAGCTGAGATCGCGCCACTGCACTCCAGTCTGGGTAACAAGAGAGAAACTCTGTCTCAAAAAAAAAAAAAAAAAAATACTAACTAATCTACTGCATTTATACCATTATAACGCATAAATATACACTGATTTCTTCCAATCTTTTCTATCAGACAGTGCTATGATGTTTCCAGTTTTAAAATACATATAAAGTTTGGCCAAGCACAGTGGCTCATGTCTGTAATCCCAGCACTTTGGGAGGCTGAGGTGGGTAGATCACTAGCAAACATGGCGAAACCCAGTCTCTACTAAAAATGAAAAAAAAAGCCAGGTGTGGTGGTACACACCTGTAATCCCAACTACTCGGGAGGCTGAGACAGGAGAATCGCTTGAACTTGGGAGGCAGAGGTTGCAGTGAGCCAAGATCCTGCCATTGCACTCCAGCCTTCCAGCATGGGAGAAAGAGTGAGACTCGGTCTCCAAAAAATAAATTACTAACTTAAATAACACTATTTATTGGCTGGGTGTGGTGGCTCATGCCTGTAATCCCACCTTGGGAGGCCAAGGCAGGTAGATCACTTGAAGTCATGAGGTCAAGACCAGCCTGGCCAACATGGTAAAACCCCCTCTCTACCAAAAATAAAAAAATTAGCCAGGCTTGGTGACAGGCGTCTGTAAGCCCAGCTACTCGGGAGGCTGGGGCAGGAGAATCGCTTGGACTTGGGAGGTGAAGGCTGCAGTGAGCTAAGACCGCACCACTGCACTCCAGCCTGGGCAACAAGAGTGAGACCACATCTCAAAAACATAAGTAAGACTACTTATTATCAAATAATTATTAAACTTTTTTTTTTTGAGATGGAATCTCATTCTGTCACCAGGTTGGAGTGCAGTGTGCAATCTCAGCTTACTTCAACCTCCGCCTCCCAGGCTCAAGCGATTCCCCTACCTCAGCCTCCCCAGTAGCTGGGATTACAGGCACACACCACCATGCCAGGATAATATTTGCATTTTCGTAGAGACAGGGTTTCACCATCTTGGCCAGGATGGTCTCAATATCCTGACCTCATGATTCGCCTGCCTCAGCCTCCCAAAGTGCTGGGATTATAGGCGTGAGCTACCTCACCTGGCTCTTATCAAATCGAATAAAGGAAGACAAAAAATTCCCAATTCCATGTCTGATTATTTATAGTCGCAAGATAATAAAGCAAACAACGTATCACTCAGTTTTTAAAAGAACTATGAGCAAATAATTGAATTATCAAAAATCAACTCATAGCTTTAAAATGAACCTTGGGCTGGATGTGGTAACTAATACCTGTAATCCCAGCATTTTAGGAGTCAGAGGCAGGAGAATTGCTTGAGCCCAGGAGTTTCAGACCAATATAGTCAACGCAAAGAGACCCTCATCTACAAAAAAAAAAAAAAAAAAAAAAAACCTGAAAATTGGTCATGACGGTGTGTGCCTCTAGTCCCAGCCACTGGAAAGGTTGAGGTGGGAGGCTTGATTGAGCCCAGGAGGCGAAAGTTGCAGTGAGATGGTGCCACTGCACTCCAGCCCTGGTGACAGAGCAAGATTGTCTTTTATTTAAAAAAAAAAAAAAGAATGAACTTTACGTATCATATAAAAATAAAATATATACCAAATTCTCAAATTAAAAATATTTACTAAGGCCAAAAGCACAAAATGTTTATTTGTGGAAAAAAGTCAAATATCTTGTTTAAGATTTATAGTATTTTTCTTGAACTTTTCTTAAAAATAAATTCCGACATTGATTTGTTGCCACCTACTGGTTAAATTCACATCTGAATGGCATTTCACATCAAATATTCACTATAGTTAATAGAAAACGCAGAGACAAAAACTACCTTAGTGATGTTCTTTTCTTTACAATGTTTCACTAAACTATTATGATAAATTCTGCTTTGGAAAAATTTGCAAAGCTATATCACAAAATGGGGACTTGACTTTTAACAGTATCTTTACTCAATCTTTTATTTAATTTGTTGGTACTGTTTTAAAATATCACTATAATTTGTTAGAAATATAAAACCTTTAATGAAAATACTTTCAAGATGTTATTTTTTTAATTTACAACTCAAACATTTATATGTACCAGTTTTCCAGCATACTGGAGTTATACAGAACTTAGGAGATTTCCATCTTTTTACAGTTGATTTGTTAGGACTGAAAACCAAAGAAAAAGTTCTCATTACATTTGTTATAAGTAAATTTAACTCTATAGCAGTCTCTCCTCTAAATTATTTTTTCATGCTACACGTTGGTTGAGCAGAGTATGTTGTCTTACTACACTACTTTTAAAACCACTTCCAGATTTAAAAAGCTTAACAAATTTAACATACTCTGAGTTCCCAATTCTAATAAATCAGCTGTAAAAAGGCCTTCCCTAAAGTGACTGTGGAAATGTGAATATGGATTTTGTTTTTGTATTTTGTTTTTTTCGGAGTCTTGCTCTGTCACCCAGGCGGAAGTGCAGTAGTGCCACCTCGGCTCACTGCAACCTCTGCCTCCTGGGTTCAATCAATTCTCCTGCCTTAGCCTCCCAAGCAGCTAGGATTACAGGCACCCACCACCACGCCCAGCTAATATTTGTATTTTTAGTAGAGATGTAGTTTCACCATGTTGGCCATGCTGGTCTCAGACTCCTGACCTACCTCGGCCTCCCAAAGTGCTAGGATTATAGGCATGAGCCACCATGCCTGGCCTGGAATGAGTTTTAAATGACAACAGAAGAATTATGTTAATTTTGTTGGGTGTGATAATGCATTGTGATTATGTGAAAAATGCATGACTGCTACGGGCTGAATTGTGTTCCCCACAATTTGTATGTTGAAGCCCTGACCTCCAATGTGATGATATTTGGAGGTAACGCCTCTGGCAGGTAATTAGGGTTAAAGGAAGGCATCAATGATGGTGGGGCTCACAATGGGATTTTTTTTTTTTTTTTTTGCAGACGGAGTTTTACTCTTTCGCCCAGGCTAGAGCGAAGTGGCATGATCTCAACTCACTGCAACCTCCACCTCCCAGGTTCAAGCAATTCTCCTGCCTCAGCCTCCGAAGTAGCTGGGATTAAAGACATCCACCACCACACCCAGATAATTTCTGTATTCTCAGTAGCGATGGGGTTTCACCATGTTGGTCCGGCTGGTCTCAAACTCCTGACATCAGGTGATCCACCTGCCTTGGTCTCTCAAAGTGCTAGAATTACTAACACTCCTGAGCTCGATGGCACAGTGAGACAGCAGCCATATGCAAATCAAGGAGAGGTCTCTCCTGGAACCTGACCATGCTGGCAGCCTGATCTCAGACTTCCAGCCTCCAGCACTGTGACAAATAATGTCTGTTGTTTCAAGCCACCCCATCTATGGAATTTTGTTATGGCAGCCTGGGCCAACTAGGACAGTGATGTATATGGAAATATGTAAGGAAGAAATAATATGCCAGAGATACGGTACAGTTGCAAAAAAGAAAAAAGGAACAAAATCTTAATGATTGTTCAATTTAGGTGCCAGGGACTTAGGTGTTTAATATGCTAACAGCTCAGTTTCTAAGTCTGAAGTTTCTCATAATTAAAAAAACTTTAAGAAAGAAAGAATATAAAAAAATGCTTTTTCAATGTAACTCCTCTAACCAAAACTCTGAAAATAAAATGCTTTAAGATAAAGTACTAATTTGAATATTACAAGGCAAAAATAAAAGCTGAGTAGAAACTTTATCATTTTTAAATAAATTTAGTAAAAATTGTTACGAGTTTTTGTTTTTTTATTTTGTTTTTTGTTTTTTTGAGGTGTTTCTTCCCATGCTAGAGTACAGTGGTGCAATCTCAGCTCACTGCATCCTCTGCCTCCCCAACTCAAGAAATTCTCCTAGGCCGGGCGCAGTGGCTCACGCCTATAATCCCAGCACTTTGGGAGGCCGAGGCGGGTGGATCACGAGGTCAAGAGATCAAGACCATCCTGGTCAACATGGTGAAACCCCGTCTCTACTAAAAATACAAAACATTAGCTGGGCATGGTGGCACGTGCCTGTAATCGCAGCTACTCAGGAGGCTGAGGCAGGAGAATTGCCTGAACCCAGGAGGCGGAGGTTGCGGTGAGCCGAG